CCCCAAAACCCCAAAACCCCAAAACCCCAGGTAAGGAGTGTACAACTGAATTATTATGTTTTATTCTGGATTTTGATCTTCAATTGCCTGTGTCTCTTTCTTCTTTAGAGAAGAAGTTGTTATCATCTTTATAATCTCCGGAGACCTCATTATGTCTATCAGAATATAATAAAGCTGCTCTTCTCGCTCTAGATTGTTTTCCAGACGAGAGATAAGGATACCTTCTCAGATAAGCATCAGGCTATCTGGCTTAGGCATATCTTTGATAAAGATTTGCTCAGATCCTACTTTTATCACATCTCTGATCATTCTGCCAATACCAAGCACTACCACTACGTAGAAGGTAACAATACTAAAGGATGCAAGTGATCCAGTTACTCGTTCTGACCAAGTAAAGAAGACAACCCCTTGCTTATTCTCTTCTGTTTGGGAAATAGGGCCTTGAGGTGAGAATCTATTTTGGTCTATCTCCCACCAAAAAGAAGTAATTTGAGTGTTTTTATTCTCTGTACATCTTCTCCTAATATAAATATTCTGACTTAGTTCAAAAGCTTTGATCAGTTTGGGCTTTATAGTTGCTGGAAGTCTAACTGTTGGGATAAACCAATTCTTCATTGTAAATCTATATTTGTTAATACGAAATAGTACTCTAGAAGTTCATTTCCTTCTCAAGGCAAATCTGGGTCTAGAGCTCTGAAAAGTTTTTCTTGGATATCATCTTTTCCAACAACATTTTTGTCTAAAATATTGACTATAGGGAGAGCTTTGTCGATTACTTGCTGCTCAGCTGGTTCGGCCCTATCAAAAGCATATTTAAGTTCAAGGTTTATTGGGAGAGAGTTTAAGTTTTCCCGAGCTTCTTTAATTCTTTGGAAGACCTCTTCTCGTGCTGGGGGAGAAATAGACCATACTGTGTCAGCAACATTTGATAATTGAACTTGTTGGAATTGGCTCCTATCAAGATTCCTGACTGCTCTGATTCCGCTGATATTTTGAAAGTTTGCATCTCCAATTGGCTCAACTGTAATAAAACGGTCTGTACGGAATAACTGATAGGTATTTGCAGGACCTTGTTCTTCATTTGTAAGATTTGCAATAATGTTTAAAGTAAGACTTGCTCCTAAAACAGGATTATCATTTGCTAGAGGGTTCAGAGCTGAGAACAAAAGCAGTGGACCTGCAATTACTAATATCAGTCCGACTAGACCTCCACACCCCATCACCATTTTCATAAATCCAGGAATTTTTTGTCCAAGAGGATGATCAATATATGGTTTGTTTGTGCATTTAGCGATGAATAAGTCTCCATAGACACTCTCAAATTTAATCCACTGGAATAAATCTAAAGCTGTCCTAGTAAAGGTCCAGTCAGCAATAATCTTGAGCTCGAACATAAATGGAGCAGACATGAATCCTATGAACATTGATTTATTGATCGGAGTGTATCCTCCCATTGAGAAGTTTCCTTTTCTTAATTCTGGGAGTCCATACCTAATTTGTAAAGCAGAAACAAAGAAATATGCACAATAGAGCAAATAAAATACAACCAATGACCAATTCATAAATACTTCATTACATTGAGAGCCTGCCTCGTCTTTGAACTGGCAGAATGGAGTTGTCATTATGTCAATATTAGCTGATATAGGGAAAGCCCAGAACACAATAGCATGGACAAGTAAGAGCAAGAACAATTGAAGATAGTACTTGAGCAATAAAGTCTGATTGAATTTAGTCTTTGATAGTTGAACACCACTATCATCTCCACCGTCCTCTTCTTGATCAGTTTCAGTCTCTTCATCAAGATTTTTATTCTCATGAGCTTTGCCTTTGTATTTCATACTCATTTTATTCTTCATTCCTTTAGCCAAAAGCTTATTTGCTGATGAAGATCTCAAATCAAACGAGTTGCTTCTATCAAATTGAGAGATTGACTCTGTTCTTCCCACATCATCTTCTTCTTCATCATCATATTCTTCAATTTCAACTTCATCAATAACAACATAATCTCTTGAGAGATATAAATATCTGTCTAGTACAATGATCATGATTTGGACAAACACAGCAAGCACCATTGCATTACTGAAGGTTCTTGGGGCAAGAGTTTCCACAGAAATAGCTGAATAATCAGGGTTCATTCTTGTAAAGAAGAAAATCATGAAAAGAATCACTAGAACTTGGAAAACAACCATTGGGGCATACAAATCAAAACCTGGTTTCTGCTCTTTTATTGTAGGGAATAAGCTCTCAAAATAGTTACTTCTCGTCAGCGCTAGTTTTATCTTCATAAATAGTTCAGCAAATTTATTATTTCCTGCCTTGTTCTTAATAATAAAATTTTTGCATTCTTCAAAGGTTGGTTCTTTGTACTTATAAGATGTCATTCACCTTTCAGATTCTTCAAAGCACTTAATTTCAATGAGATTGTTTTTATTGAGTGCTATAAATTGATTAACATACAAATTACCCCATTTATTCTTAATGGTCTGTATATCTCTTTTATATTCTTTCTGGAATTCTGAATGGGTATATTTGTTCATGTCTTTCAAAAGCTGGTCTTTGTAATTGATATCTTCATCATCTTCAAATTTAGTGCCTCCATATGCAAACTCTTTCTCTATTTCCTTCCATTCTTCAATTCTATCCTCAAGGATATCTGGGTCTATCTGCTGATACTCATTTATTTCATGAGCAACCTATATTGCAATAAATTATGTCATAATAACGATATGAAAGTTGATTTATTGGTATATGCAATCCTTAGATTCTGTAGTCCTCTTCTCTCTTAAAGAAAGGACTTGTGATATTTAGCTGAAGATATTAGGAAATTTTTATTTTTATCTTCTTGGATAACATATTGACAATTTGAGAGAAATTTCAAAAATACAAAAAGAAGAGTTAACATTTTAGTACTAAAGCTTACCTCTCATAATCTTGTGCAATCGTTCAATGAAAAAGCTCTTTTACGTGTCATGCTTTTATATTCTTCGGGGAGAACTGATTTGCCAATATTATCATCAATGAAACTATCGCTGTCACTATCATAGAAAGAATCTGTTCCAAATGAGTCGGTATTTTCTTCCTTTTGAATAGCTGCTTTCTCTCTTACTAATTTTTTATTTTTCCTTTTTGAAGCCTTATCACTAGAAATCCTATTTGCAGCAGCTCCAATAGACTCAGCCTCAATTTCCCTTTGTGACCAAACACCTCCAAATATGAGAATCAGAATATGTAAAGTGACCGCTAGTAAGATCAGTGATTCAAACAAGAAGAATCTGACGAAGTTCCTTCCACTGGCATCAAGATTCTCTATTCCAACTCTAAAGGCCATCAGCCAATCGTTTACAGAGTTTAGTATTGGCGACACAGCTTCACGTGTTGAAGGAACAAACTCTGCTGTGACCCATCTTGAGAATGGATATGTTTGTAGCAGGAATTTTGCAATTAAAACAGCAGCTGTAAAGTTGAGAATAAATATCCAGTAACTCTTTCTTGGTCGTTTCTCTTCTAACAATGCGTAAATGAACATAGACATAGGGTAAACAAGACTCAAGAGACTGCCATTCATAATCATGCATACTAGCATCATAAGATATCAGAAGAATTCTGTGTTTGACAGAATAATATTCAGCAGTAAAATATAGGCAGAGAAAAGTCATCTCATTGGCTTCATTGTTTTCTCAGAGTCTCTATGTCTTTCACTTTGATCAATATCTTCAATAAGTTCAAGTTTTTGTTCCTCTCTTATTTTCTCATTTGCCTTGTAATCTTTGTATAATTTCTCTTCTATCTCTGTATAGACACGGGTTTCACCAGTTTTGACTTCTTCAAAAATCTCATTTAGTTTGTCAAAGCTGAAGATGAGCAAGATCTGATTGGTTCAATGACGGGTAATAAATATCATAACCTTCCAGACAATGTTACATTTTTCTTTAACCAGAGATTTAATGAGTTGAGATTTGGTCATTGATTTCCTCTTCTCTTCTTTAGTCTTTTCTATATCTCTCTTCTTACTTTCTTCTGTTTGCTTTTTAGCTTCTTCCATATTTAAAGTCTGACTTCTGGAGGGAGATTCTAAGGCGCCTGAATTAACTCTGTCTTCTTCAAGCCTTTCATCTACTTCATGAATCTTTTGGTTCTTGGTTTCTTCTTTAGGAGCGAGTTCTCTTCTAGTTTCCTCTTCGAGCTCTTTCCTATTAGTTGATTTACTGAAGACTGTGTCATTCCATTTCTTGACTTGTCTGTTGACCATGACTATAAGAATTAGCTGGACTGTTTACCTAGTTTCCTCATCATCTTGTCCTTCTCGAACTGGTTTTTTACAGTGATCTTAAGCTTCTTATTGTTATAGAGATAAGCCATTGACTCTGTCTTTCTATCCGAAAATGATCTGATATTTGAGAGTGTTTTCTTTATAAAATATTCGTACTCTTCACTCAAAAAAATGTTCTCTTGAAGGATAATAAACGCATACATTAAACACTTCAGCACTAAATTGGTGATATTCGTATTTTCAGGGAGACCTGTCAAAGGATTTATCCTCCAGATAGAGATGAGTCCAATGATCTTTTGCCAACTAAGAACAGGACTGCCTGTTTGATTTCCAAAATTTTCTGGGTGGAGCCATGCTACAGGAACTTGGAATGCAAGTTGGAAAATTAGCTCAAGAATGACAACATACTTCAGAACAATTGATAGGTACTTAGTGAAAGTCCAGTTCTTTTGGAAAACAAAATTCACTGCTTTTGTGAGATACCAGAGACAGAATATAATGTAAAACAGGTTAATCAGACCTTCGATTTGGAACGCAATCATCAGCAAGCATATCAAAGAAATAATCGAAGATGTGGCTCATATGGCTGTAGAGACTCCATCATAAAATTTTGCTAAGAGCATTTGGCTTCTCACTTTGTCTATATATTTTTGAGCTTCATAATAATTCATGTTTTTCTTTGATTTCTCAACAATTTCTTTCAATGAATCAAAATCTTGAGTTTTAGACTCTTCTTTATTTGAAAGAGATTTTTTAAGAGAATTAGTGACAGAGTTTCCAACATCTTCATTAATATCGTTGATACTTCTAGCTACTGCTTTCTTTGTGTTCAAACTCATGTCAAGTTCATAAGATACACTGTAGAAGTAAATGAAAAAATAGTTCATCAAAAATACAACGATCAAATCAGTCCAAAGATTATTAAATCTAGCTCTTGAAATTATGAATCCAAGGAAGAAAGCCCATCCCTGTGGAACTGGTATTATAGCTCCTTGCTCAGGTACAACATCCATAATAGTTATAGGGGAGCCAAATTGTCTATAGATTGGAATTGGAATGGGCCTCGGATGCATTACATCTTGGAAAGGATCTGGGAAAATCGAAGTTCTTGTTTCATAACTCATGTTCAATAAGACAGATACATACTGAAGAAGTAACAAAATAGACATTCAGATTGTAAACCATTTCAAGTTCTTGAATTTGATACTTGAGAAAGAAAATATTGCAGTGAAAAATAGCATTATGATCCCCCAGACGTTAGATTTGTGGAATGAGCTGAGCAAGGCCATTAAAATTACTATCACAAAAATGATAACTCTGAAGCTTTTTGCTATAAATAATTTGTACTCTAGTGTTAAAATCCCTCTGACTCTTTCAGCTTTCTCTTTCTCAAATAATTGTTCAGGTGTGAGTTCTTTATCATCCGGATCATTGTTTTTATCTACATTTCCAGAAGATTTCATTAACGACTCTCTTAAAAACTCATCTTCCTCCTTTATTTCTTCAAGAGGTGTTGAGATAATTTCGCCTATTTGTTAACTACGATACCTACTTATTTTCTTGGGTATGTTTTCCTCTCCTTTATAGTCTTCAAGTTTAATTATTCCTGGATAGCTTTCATAGATTGATCCCTCATAGCCAAATTTGCTGGTCAACCAAATTTGGGCTTTTCTTTCGATAACACAGAACAAGAGGATTAATATATATCCCCATATTTCTTCAAAATAGGAGTTTCCTCCAAACATTCTAGTGTAGTTTACTCCTGCCCAGAATGTGATAAAGGTAAGAGATTCCCAGAGTTCTCCACTACTCTCTCTGTATCGACTATATTGATCAAGCAAAAGAACTTACTCTGCAAGGATAGTGAGGTTAGCACTTAAGTGGAGAATTCCCATACAAATAATGGTAAAGAAGGCAATAAACACTACAAATTGATTTCTAAGACTTGTAACCTTTTGTTTAGCCTTCTTATCCTCTATAGCCCATAACTCTTTAATTTCTTTAACTGTAAGTCCTCCTTTGTGCTTCAATCCAGAGTCTTTAAGGTTAGGTTGCAAGAAGAAAGGTGTGAGAATGTAGTATATCATCAACATGAACAGATAAATCAGACTTGCAACTGAAAGTCTCCAGTGAATAGCAAGTGCAGAAATAGTCAATGCTAGCAACGTGAAAGTATTCCATGAAATAGTAGTAAATGCTGGCCAAAGAATTTGAACCTTATGAACCACATATACCAGACTGAATTTAACCTTCATGATCTCACCAGAACCTCCAGAGGAGCTTTCACTTTCTAGGGCTTGTACATTGTTTTTTCTTTTATCTTCATAAGCTTTGACTCTGTCTGCACTTCTCTCCAATTGCCTTTGAGTAATGACTGAGAGGTTGAAATAAGCAACATATGCAAGGAATTTAACCATTAATTGAAACTTTGTTAATCCAAGGTAACTCTCAAGACCAATGATATCATGATTTTCTTTGATAAGAACTGGAAGCCAGTTGATTAAATTTTGAGTGGATTCAAGTTCTGCGATTTCTTCAATAGAACCAAGCTGAAAGAAGAGAATAATAAAGAAGAAGAAGGCTGCAACAAATGTAAAACACCTCCAACCATTAGTAAGTCTTCTATGGCTAACTTTTGTGATGAGGTCAGCAGAAATATGCCAAAATAGAAGGATCAGGCTTAGCACAAGTAGAACAAAGTTGATGAGATTCTTGGTATTGATAATATTGATAATAAGAAACACTAGATATGTAATCCATGGAATCATCATTCTAATACTCTCTACTGCAATAACTAGAAATGTGGTTAAACGTGGAAATCTAATTGCAAAGGTCTTTTTATCCTTCTCTGCTTGCTCTGGCTAAATAGTTTTAAATTAAAATATCTTACTGAGAAAGCATCCTTAGAGTAGTCACTTGTATATATGGTGTATTGAATATATCCAAGAAGAATAATTAGATAATTATTGTTGAACAGGTTGTTTCTCCCATATATTCTATCTTCTTCAATATCAGCATTAAGTCCCAGAACTCTAAACCACCTCTTTACGGCGGGATTTTGATTAAACTCAGGTTCTAAGAGTACGTATATGTATCTGTATATTAGTTTGAAGCTTACTTTATTGTTGTGACTATTATCATGAAGTATAAAATGTAGATAAAATTTCTTCTGAACCAATCAGGGTACATTATGAAAAGAACAAAAATTATCAGCAAAATTACATGAAAAATGTCAATTCTGTTCACTCCAGCAATATACAAGATAGCCATAAGTATGAGATCTAAGTTTTTAACAATTAATCTGAAAATAATTTCATAGGTGTAGATAGGGTCTTCCTTTGGTACATCCATACGAGACACAAAACTGGCATTTAGAGACTGACTAACTCCTGACCTAATACTAGAAGACCTTTCTCTTTGTTGAACTCTTTCTTGCTTGACTCTCTTTCTTCTCATTTTCTTTTCTTTTGCAAGCGCTAATCGAATTTGAAGCTTATCATATTCTCGAAATAGGTAGCATACAAAGCTTCCATAGAATAGGGTAAATGTTTGAAGAAGAAGATGAACAAATGGGACCTCAAATCTCCATACTCCAAATCTGCGATAGTTTGGATTATCAAAAACTGTATGCCCGAAAATATCTGTCATTAGACTGTCAATGTTTACAATGTAGTTGAAGATCATTAATACCCAAAGGAAAGGTAATTCAAAATACATCAGTGCTTTAATGTAGCCTTTTCTTTTGACGAAAATGATGCTGTGCCAGAACATAAACATTGGAACCAATGATTGGAAAGTAAACCATATGAAAAACCAGAGAAACAATCATACTCTGAAAACCATTAAATGTGCGTAAGGATTTTTAACTATCACTTTGGTGTTGTACAAGATACTTTCCCACAGGCTTGTCTTCTTTTTCCTTGTCACATCAGTAAATTTTCCTCTTCCAAATCCAACATGAACGTATCTCTCAGGATATCTCTGTCTCAGGTATCTTTCCTTTTGGGCGTGCCTGTAGGCTGCTTTTCTGTATATCAGAGCTGTTATGTACACACCCACAGTGATGGAGTAGCCAGAGAGATTATCTCTCCAACTAATATTCTCTTGTGAAAAATTGTCTAGTCCTACCCAATCTACCCAAGAGGGATTAGAGTTGTTTATTAGTGGAATCTGAATTATAAAAGAAGCAGTTATATATACTGCTGCTATGAAAGTGCATAAATATGTAATAACACTCATAATAGGACCATTTAGCTCATAATGTAAAGCCCAAGACATTAAGGCTACTCATGACATTAACACAAAAGTAAGGGCTATTAATGATGGAGAAATAATTCCAGCAAGTAATAGGAAGAAAAGTACAATACAAATCCAAAATTCAGGTGATTGCGAACCAGTTACTTTGAGATTTTCTAACTTATGATCTTCAGCTTCTTCTGAACTTCCTTTATTTTTAATAATGCAGCCAATAAACAGAAGCAATGATACAATAAGTGCTACTACATCAGATAAAAATGTTTGAACAATCCTCCAAGCAGATCCTCCATCTTCCTCGTTTGTAATTGAAATTCCAAGACTTCTATGGAGTCTTTGCTCACTCTCATTGGAACTTACTGTGCCTTTTGAAATTAATATCGAGAAAATTATTTTAAAGATTAAAAACGCAATTGAAACCACTAACATTGTTCCCATCAGGATCATTCAAATCCTATTTGAAACCTTCCTATTTTCTATAACTATCTGCAATCCAAGATAAAAAAGTGAAATAATAACATAGATCGAGCAGGGAATAGATGCCAGAAGACTTCCTGAAGCAATAACTGCCATAATCAGTATAAATTCATATCAAAATACAATGAGATCAATCAATTCGTTCCAAATTGTCTTCTTAGGCGCCTGCCTTCGTCTTCTTGATTTCAAAACTGTCTGTTCTCTCAGTGAACTTTTAGTTGGCACTATGTGTGTGCCTGATTGTTTTCTCTCTTCTCCTAAAAATCCGTTGCTGTTGTCTTCACCATCATGGAGTGAATCCTTAGACTCCCTTGCAATATCTTCTGCATTAAGGGATGCACTGAAGGGCTGGTTGCTGTCGACAATATGAACTTTACGGCGAGGTTTATTTGATGTAAAGTCATCTTCCCCTTCACTATTCCTTCTGTCTCCTTCCCCCAAGAGCTTTTCCGTGGCATGTTCTTTAAATTCGGGGTCCATATCTTAAAATAAATAATAAAATAAATTGCCAATTTTAATAGTATTGGTAGGGGTTTTGGGGTTTTGGGGTTTTGGGGTTTTGGGGTTTTGGGG